AATGTGGACTTATAACCACAAGAGAAAAACTGTAGTCGAGGTAATAATGAAGTGAGTTTGAGCGAATTACCCGTGCAATGCGGTACCAAAGCTGTTCGTCGAACGAAGCGGCGGAGAGAATGACTTGAGGGAAGCTGGTGGCGGCGGCGATTTTGCCGTTGAAGGAGATCCCCCTTCCGGTGTTGGCAACCCCGTGCAGGGCCTCGGACCACCACTCGAAGGCCGGGATGCCGAGGTGGGGAATGGCGGCCGCCGAGCTCACAAGCTGCCCGATCTTCTCGTCCAGAGTGAGGCTGGAGACGAGATCTCTCGCTCTGTCGCCGATGGGCCGGCCGGTTCGGCAGAAGCTGAAGGATTTGGTTCGCGGATCGGACTGGTCGCAGGAGAAGGGCTGGGCGGATAAGAATGGAGGGGTGAAGCAGAGTAGAGCTGCTAAAATTAGGCTGTGGAGTCTCATGGCTCTGCTATCACTTCGTTTTCCTTAATTGGGGAGATAGAATGAATGACAGATTGGTGAGGGTGTCTCGAGTAAATATATGGTCTCCGATATTTACAAGCTAGTTTGACTTTCTTTGACTTTTTTTTAATGTCCATCATTTTTAATCTTTGACTTATAACTAAATAGGATATATATGATGTATTAATTAAGTAAAATAATATTTTTGAAAATTTTTTATTAAATTTATTTTTGTATCAATAATATTGTTTGACGATTTTGACTGAAAAATAAAAATAGACATATACTTCAAAGAAGAAGGTCGTATTAAATATTGATACAAGAATGTTTTTATTAAATTTATGTTGTGAAATTTTTTCAAAATATTGTTTTATCTTATTAATATGTCATGCATTTTTTATTTAATTATTGGTCAAATATCAATTATGATAAGAAGTCAAAATTGGACATATCCTCTGAGATGGAAGGAGTATGTGATTATTATTGGTCAAATATCGATAACATGTCAATATTATTTTTATCAAATTCTAGATGACAATATATATAAAAATGAAATAATTTGACTACATCAAACTATTGACAATAAAAAATCAATTGCACAAAGGGAGTAAAAAGTTAGACAAATATCTTGTGACAAAAGAGTATTTTTCTCTTGATGTTAAAATCAAGTTCTTGTATGAATATTTTAACAGATTGTGAGTTATGTGATTAAGATTTATGGATATGAAAAATAAATCACATGAATCACACATTTTTCTTCAAAATAATGACATTTGTTTTGGAACTTCCATAAAAGAAAATGAAAATTATGTTGAAATGTCCATTCTATTGGTTTCATTGTACCGAAAAAAATACAATACTAGTGTTCTCATTTAACAAATACTTTTTATTATTCAATATATACATATCCAAATTCAAATTCATACAGCCTTGAGTGTTCATCTAGCGAAGCTAAAAGTATTTGGTGCAAACAAAAAAAAACGTTTTATTTGTTATAATAATTTTTTATTTGCATTTTTTTTGTGTGGAAGTGAAACATTATGATTAGTGATTAGAACTTAGGAATACGATTTTTGCAATATTTGGAATTTCGACATTTTAAACTGATGCAATATGAAACTCTCTTATTCTATGACTACCCAAATTCGTCCATGTTCGAGGGAGTAAACATCTCATATGGTTTAAAATTTCCATAAACCTTTTTTTCCAAAAGCACACAAAAAAATGTCTGCACTAAAAGGATCAAGTCCACATATACTCCAAAGAAACTTTAAAAAAAAAAAATAAACAAAAACTTGCAAAAAAAACTAAATACGCCGTTGCTTCTTGCGGCGACAACCATTATGTGGACGCCGTGTCGTGTCCTCAATATAAACCACCGGGTTTTTATCACCCCGAGAGTGGTTGAACCCCTCCTTAAAGCTCAGAATCGTCTGCTTCTTCCTCTTAAAATAAGTGAATCCGTTCACTTTCATCACCACAGACTTCAAGTTGCGGTTCCTTGTTTCGCGCCCAATGTGTTCTGCAGTTGACTCTGCAGCAAAGCGCGACACTTTCCCACCAGGTGCCAAACCCCCTGCAGTTGCGCCGAACTTCCTGTTCCCCTTTGAATCAGTGACTGTGATGAACGTGTTGTTGCGCAGAATCTTGACATGAACAATGTCTGGGTCGGTCTCCACTTGGGACTGGCGAAATGAGTTCCCACTGAAAGGGGAGAAAGAGTTTGGGAAGTTTCCCATTTCGCCCAGGATTTCCCGGGCAACATCCATGGATTTGGAACGGTTCACGGCCTCACCTTCGTTTTCATGCCCAGAATCTGCCTGAGAGGTGGGAGGAAACGGAGTGCGTGTGGGGTTGTTTCTCAAGCCAGCATTTCCAAAGGTTGGGAATTTGTGGTAGGGAGGCACGTTTCTTTTGTTATTCCCTGCAAAGCATATTTGGTAAGGTACAACCAATCAAAATAAAAAATACTGATTCCATAATACAAAAAAAAGTGCTACTCCGTACATTACGAAACAGATTCGATTTTTCATATAATTTGCAAAAGGAAACGCATTGCAAACAAGTCCAGTGTGATAAGTTTTGTAACACCAGAAAGCTAAATCTTTACTGTAATGTATAAGATTCTATGAGTTTTAAGAGTTTGATTTGTCAAATTTTTTAAAATGTACCTTGACAAATATTAAAATTTGACTATATAACACACGAATTGCAAACAAGCCCAATGAGAACTGTTGGACCCTAATGAATTGCAATACACATTTTTGGAATGGCTGCACTTATGCACTTAACAAAATATTGTCTCCCACAAGCAGCATCGTATCCCATAGCCTATCTCCTGCTGCTGCAAACAAAATACTTGACCGAAAAACACTGATAATAGTAAGAGGAGAGTAACCCACGCATGGGAGAGATAATGAAGCTTCAAGTTGAACATTACAAGTCATATGAATGGAGTGTGTGTGTATGTGTGTGTATACACACTTTGATCATCAATGAAATAAAAATTACATTGGATATTAGTACAACAATGATTTCATTAAATTTATCTTTAAAAAAACTATCAGAAATTTATTTCATTGTATTCATATGTAATGCAAATTCTTATGTAATTGATGATTAAATTTTGTCCAATTTGACTAAAAAAGTAAAGTTGTGCGAATACTCTTAGACATATGAAGGTTGTATCCTCGGGCCCACTTAGGATGCAGAGACGACAATTCAATCCATTTATGAAGACGCAACATTTGTCAAAAACTATCTGGAACTAAAAGTCGCGAAGTCTTTTTTTAAAGGTAAAAGTCTAATTAATACTCCATATGATTAAAAAAACGGAGTACAAATTATGGACTGAAATGCTAGAAATACGGAGTCGGGTCTGTCTCTACTTGGGATTAACGAAATGAGTATTCCTTGAAAGGGGAAAAAGAGCCCGGGAAGCTTCTCAATTTCCCCGTCATCTAGCAAAATCCATAGATTTGGAATGTTTTATGGCCTCACCTTCGTTTTCATGCCCAGCAACTGTCTGAGAGGTAGTAGGAAACGGAGTGCGTGTGGGGTTGTTTCTCAAGCCAGCATTTCCAAAACTTGGCAACCCGTTGTAGGGAGGCATGTTGCCTTGGTTATTCCCTGCAAAGCCTGTTGGTAAAAAATAATGCAAAAAATGTGCTACTCCCTCCATCCCATGGAAAAATTTCTGATACTTCGTTTGTATTTGGTTGGGGGTAAAATATTTTCTTTGAAGAATATTTTCCCAAGGAAAATTATTCCAAGGAAAATTATTCTTCAATCATATAATCCATTGTTTGGTAGGAAAATATTTTCAATCTACTAATGTCACCAAACACATGAAAATGGAATCAAAACTTTTCTGAAAAATATTTTACGCCCAACCAAACACACCATTCATAAAACAGATTCAAGTTTTCATATAGCTTGCAAAAAGAAACGAATTGCAAACAAGTCCAACGTGATAAGTTTAGTACGACCAGGAAGCTAATACATAAGATTTGGTGACTTTTAAGAGTTGGAGTTGTCAAATTTTAACAATTGTGCTTTGACCAAACATGATTTCTTTTTTGTTTATTTTCTTGAGTGACAGAGGGAGTGCATGTATCAATTATCATATGGGAACAGAACAGAACACCATCTACATGGTAAGGAAACAATGTATCCTCTTCCTCCCTAATAAACTCCACTTTCACTACTGTCAACCTATATGTTGTTCTTTAGTTATTCACATCAATCATTTGTTAGAATAAAATAGCCACATCACATATGGTTTTATGGAACTTTCAATGAACTTCTCAGATATTAAAATTTTATAAATAAATATTAAATCAATATCTAAATAAATTGAAATTAACATCAGTTAAACATCTTAAACACAAAAGTGAACTTTATCTAGGGACAAAGGGAGCAAGTAATATTCACTTGGATTTCTTGAAGGGCAATACCTTCACAAATTAATTTAATTATTTTAATAGCTTGGCTTTCCTACATACGGAGTATATTTTATATACAAGTCATTGTCTATCCCAAAACAAACAAGGACTCGTGATTTTCCTCTCCAGAATGACTCTTCTAAAAAAAACTTTACAAGTAAAAACCCATTCAGTGAAAATGGCAAAACATTCATGGCCATGTCAAATAAGAAGAGTACTTTTCTTAGAGGCTAACACCATTAATTCTAATTGTAAAGCAAATTATCCATAAGAAATAAAGGCAACGAACACTTTTTTGTTCCCTACACCTTGTCTACATACTTTGGTATCATTCTTCCTATATGTCAAAACCATATATATACATACATACACACACACACACACACACACACACACACACACACACATTGTTTGGGGGGCTTTAGAAAAAGATACTCTCAACATCACAAATCTGGTGAATGGGCAAGGAGTCCACCTCAAAACTTAATGAGTAAAATAGCTTTGACATTCGAAGCAATTTAATTCCCATTAGATGCATTTAAGCAACATTTTCAGACTCAAGTGCTCATTTGGCAATGCACAAAAACCCTGATAATTTGACATTTAGAATTTTTTCATTTAGTCAGATTTTAGTCTTACCAAAAAGAGCTATGTAAGAGCATGTCTTGGAAATGTACAATTTAAGATGTTTTAAGAAATTGTATCTGTTTTTTCAAAAGCTAACATTTTTGGGATGATATATTATAATTGGAAAAGAAAATATCAATCAAATTTTTGTTATCTTAGAGAAGTTGGGACTTTATGGCTTATGATTATTTTTAAACAATTTATCTTTCCATATGTACTACACCACATAAGAGCTAACTTTTTTTGCATCCAAACAAAATTTATAACTCCGCATATTTAAACTACCACCACTCAGTAAACATTACCTAGACAAAAAATCAATTCTAATAATGATCTATTATGACAATAATAGATTATTATACAGTTGGTTATTGAAATAATCAATTTTAAGCCATGCCAAACGCACTCATGTTTACATCAATCGCAACAGAAATATTTTGAATGAGTGGGAGAAAGAAAATCTATAAACCCGCAATGAATTCAGTGAAGTAATTGACTAATTACTTCAATTTGATAACACACGTTCCACATACTAGATAGCATAGGCAAATTCATACACACATATAAGCATGCATATAAAAGCTAAAATATGGGAAGTTGCCTGATAATCTCCCTGATTCATCACGGGGAGGCATTGGCGGCGGCTTAGAAAAGCTGGAACTGCAGAAGAGAGCATGGAGGGGCAGAGGCCAGTTAGATCTTGGTCCGAAGATCTGAGAAACCTGATTGATAATGCCATTATGTATAGATGGATGAGAAAGGGGACGCCGGATGAACATCGTTTAGCGTTGTTTGTATTTCCTGGCTAATCGGTTAGCTGAAAAATCATAGGATACTGTTAGATAGGCAGGGTTTGTAAGGTTCTGCACCATTCGAGCTCGGGAATAATTGTATCAACACAATTAACAAATGCAGAAATGAACACATCAAAAAATGAGATTTATACGTATCAATACTTAAAACTCTTCAGAATAAACGTTTACAGTTCACTATTAACACATTGACGAACCCTAACAGAAGATCTAACGAACATGAAACACAATTTACAAATAATGGGAGTATAGACAGCAATATGTACACTAAAAGTCCGTTCGAGCTCCAAATCTGGAAGCCGTTTCTCCTTTGTCAGTGAACTGCATCAGTTGCTCTGTCCGCCGCCGACCGTCGCGGTCTTCCGTTCACCGCTTCTTCTGTTCGTTCTCCCGATATGGATTTTGATGAAAGGGTCCGTGTAAAGAAAGTTTACCAGAAGTGTGAAATTGAAAATGTTTTACGGGAAGGTGTAGGTCGCATTGTAAAAATCTCTAGATTTGGGTCTAGATGGGCTAGTGTTTTTTTAGCACAAAATGGGCCAGAGTTAATGTAAAAGACTAATTACATACTCCTTCCCGCCTAAAATATTATGTCCGGAGTTTGCGAGATTTTACTAAAATTATTTTTAATTTAATTTATTTGATTATACCTGTAAAATTAAAAATAAAATATATATATTTAAATTTATTTGATTGTACGTGTAAAACTAAAAATAATATTTATAATTTTAAACACTACATCAAAAGTTTTACAAAATAAATGATGACATGATTATTTTATTTTACTCCGTATCAAATGACCAAATGATTAAATTATTTATATGGTGCTAAGATCCCAACTCATTTTATGCACCTTAGTATATAAATATTATGGATAATTGAGTTCTGTGAAAAAAATTAACTTATGAAAAGTGTGAAAAAATTAACATTTCACATAATGTAGATCTTAGGATCATAGAATCACAACTATATCATAAACATTTGATATATTAAAATTATATTTCAAAATAAATCTAATTATATTAAATTTACATTGTAACTAATTTTTTCATAATTTTAGAAAAAAATAGTAAAATCCCTGTAAAAAAATCAAAGAAGAAAGATCATTTATGGACTAAGAGAGAAATTTTTATACTTTAATTCATTATAAATTTTTGTATATATTTAATCAAATACAACATACAAAAACCTAAATAGACACGGAGTACTTAAAACGAAGGGAAGATCATGTCTTTGTGCATCGCTTTAAAAGATTCAATTATTGCATTGCATGTTGAAAGAAACTCTTGAAATAGAATGTATATCGGCATAGTTCTAAATATTGTTTTTCTACTTTTTGTCATCATGTTCACAATAGACTTTGACCTTGTTTTCTTTTTCCCAAACACGTTCTATATATGTGTATTTCACTTTTAAATATTTTTCTTTAAATCGTGAAAATACTTCATCAAGATAGTATTTTGAGGTCTCTCAAGGTCACCAGAGTTACTATGTTTCCAATTTAAAGCTTAAACTATAGTGTATTTATTATTTCACCAAAATGACACATTAAAACATCAGGAGTGCTAGGGCAACCCCACTTGGTGTACACCGATATACACCAAGGTGAAAAACAGAATTGAGTGTCTATGTGTGTTTTTTTGTCTTGGTGTATACTTGGTATTCACCAAGTTGGATTCCCCAAGTATATTTTCGTAAAACTCTTAATTCTTGCTTTTGATAAAGTTTTAGACAATGAATGCAACAATGTTAGATTAAACTAACGGAAACAATATGTTTGATATTTAGACTATCCACAACGCAGCATCTTTCTCCTGCCCATAGCTGATGTGGCCGCCGCACGTCTGACATGCGGTATTTTTCAAACTTGTCTGGTTGTCCGTCACTTGTCCATAAGAGCATCACTACTCATTCCCCTTTATCCCTATTTCGCATCATCTACTTTTAATATTACATCACTTACCCTTTCAATTTTCCTTACCTTTCTCTCATCATTCCTTTACTTTTTTTTTAATTTTTTTCACATGTCATCTTTTCATTTGTACATGAAAATCAAATTAAAAAGATAATTAGCCAATAATTTTTTCTCTCTCTAGGGGAATAATATTTCCCCCTCCTCTCTCTTTTCTATCCCCCTCTTTTTTCTATTCATTCTTCTTTTCTTCTCCCTTCCACCAGTTCCACATCATCTTATTCTCCCCTTTATGCCTCTCCATTAGTGATGGTCTAAGGTGCCCTTCTCTATACATCACCCATTAGCCTTCTTTTATTTGTTCTATCTTTGACGGTGACTTCCTTCTTTTGGTGTAATTGTTAATCCGTATGATGTAATTTCTAATGCGATTTCAAGTTTGATGAATGTGGATAAAATATTTTAATGCAATTCTTAGTTTAGTTGTTAATTTTATTAATTTTAATGGTGCTCAATTATTTTGGTCTTTTTCTAATGGCTAGTTTGTAATCCCATTTATTTTAATTTTAAATGCAATTTATTTTTGTTTAACTATTTATTTATTTATTCCTTTAAGTTCTATTTATATATAAAAATAATTTATTTATTCATAAAATAAAAAATAATGATGATGTGGATTTAAAAAGAGTGAATGTGAAAAAGATAGTGTAGAAGTTAAAAACTACGGAGTATTTGTGAGAAAGATGAATGGAAAATTGATGTAACACGTTGAGTAGGCCTGCATGTATAAAGGACGGTTGTTAACATTGTGCGCAATCTTATAGAGGAAAGGTCACATACAACTTACTCCGTAAGTCTTAACCCTCTAGTTTCTGACGGAGATGAAAATTTGGTGCACAATCTAATACGGCGTAAAAACTCGATACACATTGATACATATATTATCCATTGTTTTTAAAATTTTCAAGAACTTTGAGCATTTACCAACGCTATTTTAACTTGTAACCATAATTTTTTAGGGGAGTAATATAAGAGAGCACAATTCATTTATTAAAGGTAATCCATTTTTTAGAATTAGTCGCTAATATTTATCTTCATATATATAACCCTAGTTAATGTATTACATTGAATTGTTCACGCAAAAGACATAATGGATATGGAAGATGATGCATATTGTTGGTTGTAGTGTTACACACTACTCACAACAACAATTTACACACACAGACACAAAAAACACATCATTTGCAACTGCACCAAGGTGCAAAAGAAAGTACAAAGGGAAACAAATGTTCCAATGGTGAGAATATATTTTCGAAAAATGAGCTATTGGGTTCGAACCGCCACTTATAGAGGTCATGTAACTGCATCAAATCAAACACTTCACCATTGTTCGGTGATCTAGCCTGCTCCTAGAAGTCGGCCTCCAGAAAATTTTGAGAAAGAGTTACCTATATATGTCACAATAAAACAGTGTTATACAAAAAAAACCGTACACACTCATTATTTATAATAGATGTGGAATTTATATGGAGGTATTAATCAAATGCACTTTTGCATTAGTGTTTTACGAGGCATAACTAGACACACAAAAAAATCCATTTTTTGAGCATATTTTCATTATTTTTTCCTTCCCATACTTTTTTCCTGTGTTATGAGCATGTCTAAATGATGTATGCCATCAAAAGAGAAACATCAGCAATTTTCTTATGTAAAAGAACCGAAACGGAAATGGAAGGACATTAAAAAAATATTAAATATATGAATGAAATTTAAGAGTAGCTTAATTATGTATGCACCTTATCACCAAGTTTGAATGGAGGAAGTCCTCTGTAAGGGCATGTACCACAACGGAAAGCATCACCTAGACCACACTGCAGAGAAGAAGGCACGAGTAAGCAATTCTCATCTATTAACACTTCAAATTAAAGGCAAGTTAATACAAGAGGAAAAAATCATATAATACTACATAATGGTTTTGTGAAAAATTGTAAGAGTGTGAAGCCTGGTGGTGGGGGATGGGAAAATGGAATAGCTTGAGTGTATTGTTTCTCAACGTGCGAACACGCACACTAAACTTTACTGGGTAGGTTGTTGATGTTGCTGTTGTACAAATCGAGAATGTATATATATACATGTTTCTACATGAAAAAATAAGTATACATCATCATTACACAACACACCATGAAGATTTCTCAGTTCAATAACCTAACCTATATTCTCACTCTCTCCCTTAAGCTACAACATACAATGCTCCAAACCTTGACTAAGCATAACTTTTAATGAAGTGAAAATTGTGTGGTTGAAATTTGTGTATAGGAGAGAGAAACAATATCGACCACATATCGTATTCCAAAATATAAACATGCACATTAAATTGGGAAAAAAGAGCATACAATATAGATTGGGAATGAGAGGGAGTAAATTAAACCAAGATGCTCCAAAGTTGCATGGGTCTGGATTCTTCAAGGTCTTCTACACTTCCCCTTAACAGAAACTTCCCTTTAGAGAGAGAAAAAGACAATCAGATGGAATCATGTAGCAATCCGTATTTCTTTATGACGCACATGTAATCTGAGTTCGGAAGGAATATCACTTGATTATGATGCATTTTGTAGGTGATCCAAGAGAGGGAAAAAGAAAGGCACATCGGTATCCTCATGTTGGAAAGAATTGTTCACATCGGAATGTCAACACGGCGTAGAAAGATAATGGGAGAGAGAGAGTAAAAGAGGGTCAAAAGTTGGTTCTTGGAGCAAATGAACGACAAAGATTCGGTTGGCACGTGAGGAGGCAGGAGGGACAGAGAGTGGTGTGTTGGTGGGTGGCTGTCAAATTTTTCAGGTATGATTGATGGCCAAAGAAGAATGCATCTAAGTAGATCGTGTCATCAGTACATGGCTGTGGAAAGTGACCTGGCAAAAAATGGACTGCGTCTTCATATGCATCAGTGGTATGTGGAGACGTGTAGAGGTGGATCCAATGGTGGGCTTTTTGGCGGTGGCCCACGGCGGTAGGCCGAATAAAACAGAAGCACTGGATTTGACAAAACACTACTAGTTGGGAAGGAAATGGGCCAAATGGTCACTCGCGAGAAAGTGGAAGATGTTTGCGCCTAGAAAGGCACCACACATGACAGAAACAATTGGGCTCTGATACCATGCCAAATATTGTGAGGGTGAAAAGCCTGGTGCGCAGAGTAACCAACTGTCATGTGTCATTGCAACACAATCTCAGATGAAGAACGGAGAATGAAATAGCTTGAGTATTTTGCTTACAATATTTCCAAATAGAGGAGATATCCATATCTTTATACATGAAAAAAGAGAATAAGTCATCATTGCACATGGCTTCACACACATGCTTTGAAATATTAGGATATGGCATACATTTTAAAGCTTTTCTCTCCACGCATACACACACCTTCCTAGTAACTTCCTAGCTCCCCTTATAGTACTTCCCCAAATGTTCTTAGGCCCACTTTTACACCTACCGCGTGTTAGTATTCATAAGTAATCAAGGTATATTCCTACGTAATAAACTAATATAATTC